TGGATGGCATCCTGTCCCTCAGGCGTGTCCACCGCACCATTTAATATGTATTTGTCTAATGACCTACTGCTATCTCCAACCAAAATTAACAGCCCTACTTTATAGTAGTATTTGATGTAAATCCATCCCCACCAAATTTCCATTTTCATTGCAGCTGAAGGTATAGAGGAGGTTCCAAATTAGTCCAATATCTTATGTAACTGGACAGTGCTTTCTGTGTAGTAAGTATTTTTTTCATGTTTCTAGGGATTTTCTTCCACGAGGTTCTGGAATTGTAACAAGACGACCACTGGTCTTGCAACTCATCACTGCCAAAACAGGTAACCTCTCTCTCTTTTTGGTTCAATGTCTGGACAAAGTGCTGATGTACCTCAGCAGAGGAAAATAATTTGTAGGAAAACTTCAGCAATGTGAAGAAAGGTGCAACTAGACTGTCTGGAACAAAGGCCTGCTCTTCTAAACTATATGCTCAAGACCAACTAATCTCGTTGTTCTATCTGGGAAAACAGTAAAATCTAAATTGTAGAGCACATAATAAATTTAATCCAAGATCAAACTTGAAGCAGTGGAGAAACATTATTACATACAAAATGTTTTAGAAATTAGCTTTGATTTATTCATTTCTTGATGAGCTTTACAGTTTTATTAGTTAACATGCCAAAATTGCTGTACTTCTACCTTTAACTTTTGCTCCAGTGCGCACAGATTTGATTCCACACAGCTTGTTTTCATGACTTGTCTTTTTTGGTTGGACTCACTGCACTAAGTAGAGCAGAAGGTAGACTGGGGGAGAACAAGGCTTCTGTGTATTTGTCTCGTCAAAAATAAAAGTACAGTATGTGTATACCACTGAGCTATGTGACATATTGAGATCTTTCCTCAGAATTCACCACTTTGTACTCTTCCAAGGGGCACTTAATCTGCTGCTCAGTTCCCTAGCATATATAAAAGCAGCTACGGTTTTCCATCATTCAAATTTTTTTTGTTGTTATTGCTTCTAAACCGATGTAAGCAACAAAATCACTAGTTTACTATTGAATTCTACTTAAAATAGTAAAAAGAATAGTAACAGTGGTAATAGTAAAACATCCAAAACAGCATTTAAAAATAAAAAGTGCTCTTTAAATTATGGACCCTGATGAAACTGAGGAAGAAACAAAATTGAAGCTGCCCATAGAACTTTAGTCTGTCCCTACGTGTGAGGTGTAATTAAGTTTTTGTGTGTATTTTTTTTCTTAAAAGGTCTTTTTGTTGTTCAGCAAAAAGACTTCAGTCTGCCTAGGCTCCAGGGTTTTTTTTTCTGAATTACTGCTTTTAAAGCACATTCATACTTTCAGTGTCTCTATGAAATTTTCCGTAGTGTTTATACTGTGGAAGAGAAAGGGAAAACTGTGGAATCCAGTATTTCTGTATGCTCAGCTTAGAAACTTCAGGATTTTCAAGTGTGTAATATGGTTATAGTGCTTTATATGTATTAAAAGATGAAGTTAGTTCTAGTTGGAGATATGAACACTTGCCATTTCTGCATATCTGGCTTTTGATCTCTGACAGAGCATGCAGAAATGCATGAATAAGGCCTAGCTTTGGAGAATCTTCATCTAATTTTCCCAGCACCATGTAAGAGCAGAAGAAAGAAAAGAATCAAGCTCTGGGCTGGCATTCCTAACAAAATCACTAAGCTGCGGGAACATGAATTAGTAAGTAAACTCTTACACTCTAACCTCAAGTGGTGAAATACTTATTCTTAGACATCCATCCTAAACTTACCCTGACTGATCTATATTGCCCTATTTTGTAAAATCACCATTGTCCCTTGGCTAAGGGGGAAATGAAAGGGCTTTCTGGTATTTTCTCCATTAATATTTTCACATAGTGGTACTAACTTTAGGTAGGCCTCTGGGTTTTTGTATAGGTACCTTCTCTGCTGAAAAGTAGTTCTTCATTATAATTTAAATAACACAACAAAAAATTCAAAAATTCTGGAGAACTGAGCTTCAGCCTAATTTCATGTTTCCTGGATGTCAGGACGTATTTCTCCCTTTGGGAAATGCTGTGTATTTCTTGTTTGGGATTAGATGCCAAGACCTTTAAAATGTAAGCTTTAATTATTTTGTTACTTTCTTTAAACTTTGTTCTGCTGTTGGTTTTGGTGGTGAAATTCCAAATAACTTTATCTTTTAAGCCACCTTTATCTTTCTGAACTAATTTTAAAAAAAAGAAAATAAAGAAAACTGCTTAGAGAAGCACAGTGTTCTTTTGCAGGAAGCAGATGCTGGACTGATTTTTATCTATAATTATCTAAAATGTTAAAGAAAGTAATTAGAGAACTGTATCAGGTTCTTGCTGCTGTAGCAGACTTAACTGACCTCTAATCCTAGGATCTTTCTTGACTCTTTTAAAAGTAACTATTCTTAATCCTACAGTCCTCCTTGGGAGTGAGAGTGCACTTTCTATATAGACATGCAGAGATGACTGCAAGATATTTTATTAACATTTTGGAACTGGCTGAGAATCTTTTTGGAATGTGAATTTGATTGACAGAGGAGGTTAAAGCTTCATTTAACTTTGAGTCATTGCACTAAGGGATAAAGATTGGCAGCTGAGGCATTTGTGCATACCCAAGTAAAAGGAAACTTTGACCACTCATTATTAGGGTTGGGCATGTCATGGAAGGGTGCAGCAGGATTTGGTTGTGAGGAGTTATCAGGGGCCTTCCAACATCTCAAAGATCTGACGTATCTGGGTAAAGAGCTGTTACCCCTGCGAATATGCAAGAGGTAACATAAAAAAATTAAATACTAAGAAATTTGTCTCATGAGATGTGGAGTATTTTTTTTTTTTTAGAATTTTGTTTACTTCCTCTTTTTAAAAAAACTCTGTGTAATTAGTACAAAGCTGTTTTGTAGTGACCTGTTGACTTCCTTTAATCACTAACATATTTTGGTGGGAACAGTAGAATTCCTAAATGGCTTTATACCATTTGTGCTTCCACATCCATGCAAGTACTGTACTCTGCTGAAATCTTGGAGGCAAAGACAAAGGTTTTAATTAAATATTGCAACTTGCAAGTCAGTCTTTAGTAGTGTGACTATTTTCCTCTGAGTTTGATAATGTGAGAAATACCTAGTAGCATAGAGTAAGTCGAAATATGGATGTTAAAAATAATTTACAGTCCTCTGCAGGGCTCTGGCTTGTTCTTGACTATCCCACTTTGAGTCTCTTTTGGGACTGCTCAGCTGCACTTCAAATGAAATTGGAAGTGTGTCCTGTATCCAATAAATTACTGTACTGGCTAGAGGAGGGAGAGGAAAAAAATAACCATCTTGTAAATATTTTGAGCATCCAAGGTGGCTTGCTTCTTGCAGTGAGAGGCTGACACTTATTACTTGTCTCAGAGTAGTTCAATGACAGTCCTGTAGGTAGGGTCACAATTTTTCATTCTTACTGTTCATCTCATGTTTTCAGTTCAGTTGCTCCTCTTCTACTGAAGAAAAAATGGCATATACAGTGTCTTGCTGGAAGAGAGAATTGAACCAAATAAGCATGCGATTTTTGTTCTGTAATAAACAGACCTAAATTCTGGTAAAGCAGCTTTGTTTCCCACCCAGAAGTCACAACTGAAAAAAAGTTCTTATGTGACATCAAGCATGCTAAGCAGTCCAAGTGCAGCTTGATATTCTTCTCTCTGGTCACTGCATTTGGCCCTGGGCAATTCCACAGCATTGGGAATGTCTAACAACACTCTTGTGACTTTGTTATTGCTAGTCTCTGACAGAGCTCAGAGTAGAAAATGGTTTTGGAGAACATCGTCCCATCTGGGAAGATGCAATTCGGTGAGGTTTTTAGAAGGCACAGGTGTGGACAGGGTGCTGTTAGCTGGGAAGCTGTCTGATGGCGAACTTCAGGTTTTACAAGGCAGACAAGACAGCTCTGATAAATTAGCTTAGCCATTCAGAGGCTGTACATGGGAGGAATTCTACCTGATCTTTTCCTGGGTGAGAAGCTGGATGTGAAGGCAGTTTATTTTGTGAGAGTCTGATGTCTGAATTCAGGCAAAAGACATGCTAGTTCTTTTAGTATTTGACTGCTGCTATGTAAGATACAGGGAGCTCATTGTGTCTCCTCAGGCAGCATTTGTTTTAAATGCCAAACTGTTGTGATATTTCACCAGTTACCAATCCAGTGTGTTTTGCTGGTTTCTCACTTTCTTACTCATGATTCCTTATCGGGAGGAGGAATGCATTACATATTCCTGTAGTTGTGCTTTTAGAAGGATTTTTCCCTGTGTGTCTTTAAGGTGTCTGTATGTGGTGGCATACAGCTGACCTTGGACAAGAATTTTAAGGCTGCATCAGTGTTCAGTAGTCTTGGAGCAACATAAGTGAATTGTGCATAAGGTACGTTAGTCTCATTTCATCTCTTAATCGTCTCTCTGCATGTTTTGCCAGTAAGCATGCTAACGTGTAGCGATTTGTCATATGTTACCATAATTTCTTAAAGGAGGGCTAGTGAGCTGATGGGTTTTTCTTCCTTTGAGTTGGTATGCCTTAATTTATATGTTGGAACCTATTTCTTAAACATTCAAAGGTTTTGTTTCACAACTTTCAGTATACTTCCTAGCTTGGTGATTCTTTGATGTAATGCATCAGTAAGATTAAATACTTTTTGTAGGAGTTAGCAGCACCATTTAAAAGTATCTATTGAGTAAGCTTTGGGAAGGTAATGACTTGAAAGCCTGAAAAAGTCTTGAGAGGCAGGGATTTGTTTTCTTCCTTTTTTTTTTTTTTTTTTTTTTCTCTTGCCACATATTCTGTATAACCTTAGGCAATCTGTTCTTCCTCTCACTGTGCTTGCTCCTGCCTGTGGAAGTGAAATAATTATGTAGATTCCTTGAGTCTGGGTAGTATGGTTTTTTTAAACAGCAGGGACAAGGAAAAATGTATTTAGGTTTTGGATAAAGCCTTTGTTGTAGGTCTTTTGTTTGTAAAAATACATTGCCTGCTATATAAATCCTGTTGTTTGTTATTTACATGTTAAAATATCTTGGTTCTAGGATGGTTATTTTCCTCATTTTGATAACTGGTTTTCAAGGAATTTCGGATTTTCTTAATGGTCTTGCTTCAGATTCTTTGATAAAGAAATGGCAGATTAACAGATTTTAAAAATTGTTATTGAGGTGGACATTTTTAGATGGATGAGTCATGTACAATACCCAGGTTTGAGTTCTGTTAATTAGAACACTAAGTGGAAAGTAAATCACCATAGGGTTCAAAGGACATTCAGATATTTATTTTTTTTCTAAAGTTTTGCAGATGCTCTC